TGACATCCAGATATGTAGATAAGTGGCAGTTTGTGAAGGTAGGCACCGAGAACGTTAAAACCATCCGTCTCAGACTTGCCCCTCGTGGATTTATGGACACGGAGGCGTTCGATGTGGAAACCTTCTCAGGAACTGCTCGAAGGCAGTCCCAGAGGCTCCTGGCAAGTGAGGCGGCATGCCATCCAGAATGGATCTTAGCATCCATGGATATCGATAAAGCGTTCCTCAAGGGTTTGACCTATGAGGAACTTGCTCATGCCACCGGCGAGGAAACTCGCATGGTTTGCTGCACTCTTCCACCAGGAAGCGCCCAGGTACTTCGTACACTGCCCTGCTGCTCTTCTTACGATGAAAGCCGACGCTGCCTCAGGTGCCTCAAGCCAGGGGCGGGTACAAAGGACGCCCCAAGGGCGTTCTCCCTCAAGCTTCGTACGACCACACGAGCTATAGGCCTTGCCCCGACAAATTATGATCCTGAACTTGAATTCAGTCAAGATCTGTTAGCAGCAAAACATGTCGGAGCCCTCGCCTATGCCCTTCTTACTCAAGTCTGACTTATGGTGTACGTGGTCTCTCTTCAGAAAATTCAAGAGCCCACCAACCTACAAATCAGACGACTGAATGCTGTGACGCGAAAGCTGATCAGCAGCCCGAAACGCATCGCCGACGAACGAAGTTGATATACACAGTGATTCGGGGCATCGGAAGCTCACCGGGGAGGAAGACGATGAGACCAAGGGCTACGGCATACTCGGGGCCAACGTACTACGGCGAGGAAACTCGCCTCAAGGCAAACCCGTCATTCACCTTTGTGACGGACTATGTAAATCACATCGACTGCAGGTGAGATCCAGCTATGCCGCTGAGGCACTTGCAGCTGCACACAACCTTGATGAGTGCTACCCTACGCTCATCACCCTCCACGAGCTCAAGGCAGGGGCTCTGACTCCACGACAACTACGAGATATGCGTGAAGTTGGAGGCCTAGCTATTAAAGTATCCCTTACCATACACGCTGAGTATGTATACAAACCGTTATCCAGCAAATATCTTAAGATACCGACGGAACGGACTTTGCTGGGACATATCAGCTGGATACGGGAGCTCATGGATATAGGTATAGTGCATAATGTGCAGTGGTGTGATACTAGAGATATGACCGCAGATGGGCATACAAAGGGGAGTATCGATCGGCAGCTGCTTTTGGAAGTGATGTCAGGCACCTAGTCATTTTAGTACGACGTGAAGCAGTTTGTTCCCTTTCGGGGTCCCGAGGACAGAAACAAGCCTAAGTCTAATCAGTTTTAGTCTGTCCTTGTTACCCCTGCGGTCCAGTTTGCCAGCATGGGCGCCCAATGCAGAGGCGCCCTTCTAGGTGCTCGGAAACGGGCCTTACATTTCACGCTTGGTAACGAGCCTGTTCAGTTTGATTCAGGCTCTTTGCCTTAATACCCGTTTGCTCGGAGAGGTATAGCCTGTTTGGCTTACCTCTAGCCGGGCCGATAGCCCTTTGATGTCCAAGGGGCTATCTCGTATTTGCGTGAAATGTTTTGCGAGGAAACTCGCCTGACTGGTGTTAGGCCAGACTGTACGCACTGTTCTTCTTGCAAACAGTCGTGCGCGCGGCCTTTGTGGAGCCTAACGGCTGCGCGGCTATACTCACCGTCTCCTCCCCTCCCGACTTTAAGGGTCGCTCTTTGGGAGATGTTATATAGGATCGGGAGTATAGCTCGCGCGCCGTTGCCTTTGGCTCAAGGCACGCGCGCCCTATTTGCCCGGACGCTGCTTGTGTTCGCTATGTGATGGAAAGATCATTACATCGATCTTATCCTATCTTATCCGTCCATTCTTCTTACTGAACCACCTCAGTACGATACCGGACGCTATTTGCCATCCGCTTCCCATGGAATCGGATGTTATTTGACTTACCATAGTCATTTCAGACTCCTCCGCTGTGCAAGAGAAGCGCTCCCGAGCAGCAGATCAGGAGGAGGAGGAGGAGGAGGAGGAGGAGGAGGGCTGGCTCCCCAGGAGCAGGAGGAGCAGGAGCAGGAGCAGGAGCAGGAGGATGAGCAGGAGCAGGAGGGGGAGGAGGAGGGAGGAGGGATGAGGAGGAGGAGGAGGACGAGGAAGTCCGGCGTGTCCCTCTGCAGGGGGAGAATCCAAAAATAGTCAACAAATCATGGGGTGACGATTTGTTTCTAGCATGTTTGAATATTGTTGGCGTTCTTTTTTTTTGAGAGAGTTTTGTATTTTTCTCCACAATCCACCTGTATCAAGCAGTGGCGAAGCGTCCTGGCTCGCCTATCGCCCCACCAAGCAATGTTCTAAGAACCTCTTATGGCTTCCCCGAGATGTTCTTAGAATCTGTCTGGCGGAGTCTGTCTTGTTTTAGCACATCGGGTTTATGCTTCTTTTTGTTCTTACGCCTTTCCGGGGTTCTAAAAAACACTTCGTGGCAGGACTATAGGAATGCCGGGACGGTCGGTCCCTGCCCAACAAGTCGGGCGTTCCCTCTGCAGGGGGAAAATCCCCCAAATAGTCAACAAATCATAGGGTGACGATTTGTTATAGCATTTTTGAATTCTTGTTGGCGTTTTGTTTCGAGTGTGTTTGCATGTGTCCTCCACAACCCACTTGTAGGAGGACACGCCCGACCTAACCCCAGATCTTGGGAGGGCAGGCTGCCTCCCAGCCCCCCAACCCTCCGGTGTTTGGGTGCTCGGCTCAAGGAGGGCTGCTGCTCCCCTGCTTCTCCCTCGGGCGTCCCCCCTCAATCATTCCTTGCTCCTCCCTGCCAGCGGAGCAGGGCCACGGAGGAGGCGTTCTCAGAAGCCATTGACATCATAGTTTAGTCGTGTGACTTTTCTCTTAAGCCTGCAGAACAGCTTCCCCTCACACTGTAGTCATGCGACATCTCTCTCAAACCGTTCGTTCATTCATTCAATCATTCATTCATTTGCTCCCTGTCCCCTGCCTCCTGTTTCTCATCATGTCTCTCCCTCTCTCTGCCTTGTGGGCGTGCCAGTTGCGCAACGGTCGGGCCACTTTCGTGGGCTCCTGGGAGGCCCAGCGTAGCGGGGGGACACCCTGATTGCCACTAGACCTTGCGCCCCCTGGGGGGGCTTCCAACTGTGCAACAGTCGCAGCGCCTGTTGAAGCCGTCCCTGTCCGTATGAGGCTTGCAAACGACGTAAACGTCAAGACCTCGAACGAAGCGGGACCATTTACTGCAATCAGTGAAGTTGGTTGCTTGAAGTCGACTTGGAGGTCCTCTTGGATCCCTCTTGTGGCGTCTTGGGAGCCTCCTCGGCCGTCTTGAGGCCATCCTGGGGCGTAGTGAAGTTCTCATAATTAGGGTGTCTTGGGCACTCGAGGCTGACCTCGGAGCCGCCTGGTTCCATATTTGAAGCCTCTTGGGCCCTCCCGGCCGTGCGGCGGCGTCCCTATGGAGATCGTGGTGCAGCTCCAAGCGGGCAGGAGCCTGAGGCACGCCAACCTCCCCGAGGGTGGTCTTACGTTGACGCCGCGGCACCTTTGTTTTTTCAGTCACGGCGTTGGAACAATGCGATAGCCCACCAGGTGGACGCCTGCAGCTTCGGACGACGTAGGTGCCAAAACTTGATTGCCCTGGCGGAGGACGAATGCACTCGGAGGTTGAGACTCTTCTATACTAGCCATCCGGGCTCTGCGGTCGCTCGCGCCTGGCGTTTGAACAAGGAACGCGTCGGGCTCTGGAGGGGCTCGCTGTTCTTTGGGTCCTCCCGTGGCAACGCCTCTTGCGTTCCTCGTGCACTTAGGCCCTCTCGGGGCTCAGGCGGGGCTGTCGTCTCTCACCCAGTGTCCCTCGTGGTAGCGACTTGACTTGACTGTGGTCGACAATGAAAAGTTCATAGAACTTAAAGTAATCGTTCGACACGCTACAAGCTACAAACAGACGTTCGAGCACACACACACACACATACATACCACAAGACAGCAGTCCAGCAGCATGCCTGTTTTTCACAGCATTGTGCCCCCAGGGGGCCAGCCCAGCGGATTTATGGGCGAGTCGTTACATTGGTGGGGGGGGACAAGGAGGTAGCGATATTGGTTCAAGCTGTTTAGGCCATTCCGCCGCCCCCCCACAAGGAGCGAATGCTTCCGACCAGCTTGGAAGTTATTTGGTGGGTCAGGAGCTTCGGCAATGCTTTGGAAGGAGCTTGTGGGATGCCTCTCAGAGGCCTCTTGGAGGGCTCTTGGTTACATCTGGGTGGCCTTTTGGACCTTCTTGGGAACCTCCAGGGGGTTTCTTGGGGACCCCTTGGGGGCCTCTTAAGGCCTCCTGTATGCGCCTTGGGGAAGAAAGGCTCGAACTGTCAGTTCGAACCCCCCTTCAGGTTCCTCTCAGGGCCCTCTTGAGGCTCTCTTGGGCCGTCTGGGGGGCCCCTGTGGTCATGGGGCTCTCTTGGGGGCCTCATTGGCCGTCTTGGGACGATCTCGGGAACCTCTCGGGCCGTCTTTGACGGTGTCAGGGCAAAGAAGGCGAGTATATTGAAAATGCACATTTCCCGAATGGGACGGTTTTCGCTTTGGGGGGGCCTCTCGGCGGTTCTCTGGGAGCACACTCGGGTCATCTTGGGAGCCTCGTGGCCGGTCTCGAAGCCATTTAGGGTCGTCGGGACGGCGTGGGGCTACCTTGGGCGAACTTGACGCTTTCCAAGGTTGTCCTGGCGCTGTTTTGGCGGTCTGTTTCATGCGCCGTGTGGGGTCCTGGAGAGGCTCCGGAGGCCCCAGGGAAGCGTTTGGGAGCTCGTCCACCCTCGTCCCCCCCTCCCCCCATCAAACGGCATGTTTGACCTCAGGGGAGGGGTGAAAGAGGTGGGGGACAGCCACATGTCTCACATGCCTCGTCCACCCCGGCAATCGGGGGTCGGCGGATGTGCCTCCGATGTTTCAGACACAGCCACACCACCTTGCTATCATCTTTCCTCCTTCGCGCAGCTGACCTTCCGTTTCAGGCCAACCACTTCTGCGGGGGCTTCTGTGAACCAGGCCCCAGCCTTTTCGTCGACTACGACCTGTCTGGACGCCAAGGCAGGGACAGGGAACAGGGAAATCTCGGAGAGGGCAGGGAACAGGGTTCCGTCGGCTTGCTCTGTGAGATCTGACTCGCGCGGTACATCCAGACATCCGACGTTTGGTTTGTTTCAGAGCGTGGCCCCCTAGAAGTCTGGACCAAGCCCTCATCCCATGCAGCTGCTTGACGGTATTGGTGTGTGGGGGCCCCCCCTGGGCGGCTGCAGAAGCGGAGCACACCCTGGGTCAGGAGCAATTTTTTGGGCAGCAGCGAACGGAGGACGCGCGCGCACACGACTGCGCAGGCGTTCCGACGGAGAGCTCTCCGCGCACGCGTGCGCGCGCCCGAGCGCTCCCGTCCTTGCTCTGCCTGTGTGTGTCTGGGCCACCCAAGTGCTTGGCATCGCCAGGACGTGTGCATTTGTCCTTCGGCGAGGACCATCGAGGAGCATCCTTGATCATTTGGCGAAAAAATCCACGCACGACACTGGGAACAACACAAGGAATGGACGTCCGAGCGATGGCGAGAGTGGGGTCCCAGTGGACGGGGCCAGAGGGTCGCGCCGCGTCGCCGATGCATCGGCGATGCGGTCCGATGCGTAGCCCGTTTTGCTCCACGTCGACGTTGCCGCTGCATCGCAGACGTCGCCGATGCATCGGCGATGCTGCGCGATCCTCCGACCCCATTTGTTCGGATCCCATCTGGGAAGCCTCTGCTGTGTGGCGTCACCGGGCGTCAGCCGTCGTGAGTTTGTCATAACGTGGCCCCCAGGGGTCTTGACCTCTTCCAGAGGACCAGCTTTTCATCCAGGAGTGTTTCTTGTTTACGGTCCTGGGGCACGGTGAAAGCCCCCAGAGGCCCAGAACTGAAAATGATTGTTTTTGTTGTGTTTCAGTTCGCGTCGCGCTGGTGCCATGGCAGGAGAAGTGGCACGGTTTTGAGGCAGTGCTCCGCGAGCACAGTGGAGGGGGCCTCTGTTCTGAGGCGTGGGTGGGGAAGAACGCGCCCCATATCCACTCCCCCGCGGATTTTAGTCGAGAAAGACTCACCAGCAACGGTGCGGATTGCTTGGATCGGCGTTGGGCCCTCCCGTGGCCAAATATTGCAATCATTTTTTCCCCCGTGGTGAGTTTCGGCGGCGCCTGGGGGGGAAGTGAGAGAAGGAGCAGGCCTCCTCGGAGGGTCTTTTGAGAAGCCCCCGAGGTCTTGCGTGTCTGCTGGACGTTCTTGTGCACCCCGGGGAGGGCACCATTGGATGTTCTGGCTGCTCTGACCGACGGAGGGGCTCACGCTCTTGAAAGCTGTTCTCCTGGCCTAGGTCCGACCCCCCGAAAAACCGGTCGGCAGGCGCGAGGGCTTCTGAGAAGCCCCGCCGCCTGCTGAGGAGACTTCCTCGCTCGCCGCCGCCGCCGGGGCGATGCGTCGGTGATGCTAAGGAGCCGAGCTCTACATACACCGACGCTTTTTCTGGCCCCGCACCAGAAATCGAACAGGAGCGCGAATCCTGGTGCATACGGTCAGAACCCGAATTGCCCCAGGCCCGAGTTATCCCGGATAACTCGGGCGTCCAGGGCCCCAAATCATCAGGGATAATTCGGGTCAGGGCTAACTCGGGCTCGTTTTTTTCGAGAATTCAAACCCGAGTTACCCCGGGCCCGAGTTACCCCGGATAACTCGGGCGCCCAATACGGGGTCCTGGTGTGTACATCCCTATAGATCACTCAAGTTTTCTTTTTTGTTTTATCTTTGTTAACTTTATAAAAAGTTATCAACCTTCCGGAAAGTTGATAATGTTTCAAAAAGTTGTTAACTTTTTGTTTTTAACAGCTTTGGAAAGTTAACGTTGGCGCAACGAAAAGTTAACATCTGCAGCGAAATAACTTATTTTTTTTGATAATTTGTTTCGTTGACTCTGCACATATGAATTTCGATGTTTAGGTTGTGTGTGTTGCAGTTTTGTTGCAGTTTTGTTGCGGTTGTGTTGCAGTTTTGTAAATCTACAACAAAATTGCAACACATGCGTTGCAGTGTTGTTGTAGTTTTGTTGCAGTCGTGTTGTAGTTTGGTTGTAGTTTCGTTGCAGTTTCGTTGCAGTTTTTATGTAATCTGCAACAACACTACAACATTTGTGTTGCCGTGTTGCAGCAGATCAGTTGCGGTGTTGTTGCAGTTGTGTTGCAGTTGTGTTGTATATTCAGATGCTCAGCTTATACCCGCCCACTAAAAAGGATAATTTTGGTGATCTACAGAACAGAACCATTGTGGTGCTCGCAGGCAGGGGGGTTGGCGTCAGATGTGGTGCAAGCGAGCATTCGCTTGCCTATCTCCCCACTCCCCTCCCTCCTTATTCAGCTTGCCTCGTCCATTTCTCTCTCCCCTATCCTTTGCCACCCCCCCACTTCGCCTGGATGGGGACGATGAGGACGACGAGGAAAAGGATGAGGAGGGGAAGGATGGGGATGCGAAGGACGAGGACGATGAGGGTAATCATGAGGAGGATGGTGGGAATGAGGATGATGATGACGATGGTGTCTCGGTTGATGATGCTGGCGGTGAGTATGTGCACGGTGGTGACGACGACGACGCAGACGACGATGATGATGATAATGATGATGATGATGATGGTGGTGGCCATGATGATGATGCTGATGATGACGACGGTTATGATGCCGATGCTTATCTTAATGATGCTGGTAGCGGTTGTAATGAATAGGGTGTTGGTCGCGGGGTCTAGGAGGATGAGGAGCAGGCGGAGGATGAGGTACCGGTAGGCGCCATTTTGGCTAAGGGGCTCTAGCTACTTAGGCTTCCCAGGGTGGCGCGGGCAGGTCCATGTGCACCTTTGCGGCGTCCGTCGTCGTCGTCGTCGTCGCCGTCGCCGTCGTCGTCGTCGTCGTCGTCGCCGTCGCCGTCGCCGTGGCCGTCGCCGTCGCCGTCGTTGTATAGGGTTTACTTGGGTCCCCCTCCTCGTCCTCCTCCTCCTCCTCCTCCTCCTCCTCCTCTTCCTCATCATCCTCCGCATCCTCCTCCCTCGCCCCGTACTCCGCCGTAAAATTGCACTGGGCACGCCCCGTTCCATCCCCTCACCCATCCATCGCGATGGCAGCGACGCCGCGCAGCGTGCGGGCAAGGCCCGACCAGGACATCAGCGTGTCGGAACTGTACAGTGCTGTTCTAGCGTGGCTGAAAGCACGGCGGGGTGGGACGGGCAGTATGATGAGTGAAAACAAGATGAGGGCGAGGAGGAGGACGATGAAGATGATGAAGAGGATGACGACGACAGCGACGACGACGACGATGATGATGATGATGACGACGACGATGATGATGATAGCAGGGGAAAAGCGGATAAGGAGGAAGGACGTCGTCGTCGTCGCCGTCGTCGTCGGGCGAATGCGCTGGGAAAGATGATAATGAGGAGGCGCGGGTGGAAGAGGACACCAAGCAGCCTGCCTCCTCCACGGTGCAATGTCCCTCCTGCTGCCTCCCTCACCACCACCCCCCTCGCCACCCCCTCTCTCCATCTTCGCGCCCGACGTTGGCGCGGGGAGGAACACTCGTGACATCGTGGGCGTGATCCGCCCGCTCGCGGAGCTGACAGCACACAGGTCGCCCCCGCCTGTCTAGTTAGGTGTTTGATTGGTTAGTGAGCCAGTTAGTGTGATCGGTCACTTACTAAGGTAGTTACTTCATTTGTATGTTACTCAGTTGTGTAGTTAGGTAGATCAGTAGTTAGGTAGTGGGTTATGAGAGCTACTTAGTTGGAGAGTTACGTAGTCGGTGACTTCTTAGTTAGGTGGTTGGTTACTTGCTAGTTGGGTAGGCACGAAGTTAGATAATCGGTTATTGAGTTATTTGGTTATTTAGTTTTCTCGTTAGGGAGTTGATTCGCCATGTAGTCGGGTACTTAGTTATATGGTTGCTTATTCGTAAGGCAGTTGCTTGACAGTTGGTTGGTTAGCCAGTGGATGCTATGTGTGGGCTGATCGGTAGTTATCTCGCAACGCGGTTACCTTATGCATGTGACTATACGTGTGTAGGCAGCTCCTGGGACAGTTAGGTAGTGAACGATAGTCCACTTAGTGGCGTTATTAAGAGTAACAGTAGTATAATGAATTACTTGCTTGCATCGTTAAGTAGTTGCTGGTAAGAGTACGTGTACGATCACTAGGGATGTTGTAAATCCCGACGTAAATAATACTACTGCAAATAGATTCCCTTGTGTAATAAAAATCAAATGAATTGACTGGTGAAGGGTCTGCGTCGTAGCCGTGGTAAAAGTAGTCGTAGTACTATCAGTGGTGCGTGTAGTAGTCGTCGTATGGCTAGAAGTAATGTTACTAATGTTCATAACATTATGTATGATAACTCGTAGTATACGTTACTATTAACAGTGGTAGACGCAGCCAGAAGCCATTCGTATCTTTAGTGGGTGTTTTCGTAGTGATAATTGGTGTCCTGGCATTCGTAGGGGCCGTCGTAGTGGTAGAAATACTAGTAGTCATAACCGTAGTCGTAGCAGTAGAAGTCGGAGTATGAACAAGTGCGGTAGTAATAGTTAAACATAGGGGCACTGGTATAGTGTTAGGAGTATGGATAGGGGTAGGAGTAGCAGTAGAAGCGGCATTGGGAGCAGGATTAAGAATCCGAAACATATTAACTATTTACGAATTTGACCATGAATGAGTTAACTAACCCTAACTCCTCCTGACCCCTATGATATTGAACCCGCACTCATAGGTCCACGCCCACGGCAACGATCATCGCGCACTTCGCGGATCTCTTCAAGGAGCTTGCGAAGGCGCGCGGAGCCGCGATGGCAGGGGAAGACGAGGAGGAGGAGGAGGATTCGGGGGAGGATGAGGAGGCGCAGGAGGGGTGAAAAGGAGGGGGAGGAGGAGGACGAGGAGAGGAGGGAAGACGAGGGGCAAGAAGAGAATGTACCTGGCTCTCCGGCCTGCCAGAGGATCAAAGGGGATGGTGGGGGAGGAAGAGGAGAGAGGGGAGAATCATCGTC